CGTTAAATTTCTGTTTGATAGATTTTTCAATTGTCACACCTGTTACCTCCATTTAAAAGTAAACGCAATTATCTGATGTATCTTAATTACCAGTTTAAAAAAATAAAATAATAACTTGAAATGAACGTTTCAAATGAATTAATTACTTCTCAAAACATGAATTTACATTATTGCAAAGTGTAAACGTACACTACACACGACAAACGATGCCGCAAAATTAAACCATCAGTATCATTCATGCAGTAAATTGGATGCATATTTATATCAAATAATTCTAATGAAGCTACTAATTTTGGGATAGCTTTTGAATAAATGATAATTAGCAAAACTCGTCTTCCAAATTTCTATCAACTTGATGATTGAAAAGTATTGTGTATTATTCTCGTTACAATGATAATAATCTTGGAAAGTCAATCTTCTTTAAAAAAAACATTGTAGAATCATAACAGTAAAAATGATTTAATGAATGATAAAGTATTCTTTAGTATTCATGAAATGAAATACAAAATATTTAATTAAATTGTTTTTTAATTGAATGTTAAGGATATTAAACTCTATTCACATATTCCAACGTACGTGACTGTATTAGATATTTATATTTGTTGTTAAATACCTGAATGTGTTTATAGAAACTTTAACACATTTCAATGTTATTTTCGACATGCTCACAGACAGCTTTCTCAATTCAACTTAATGTATTTCCGTTAACATGAAGATATTTCTTATGACAATTATTTACTTAACCGACGTTTGTTTTAAAAATGTAACCTTTTCATTTTTTTTAATCTTCTTAAACAGCTTGATTTACCTTAGGGACACTGTAAGCGTGAATTATTCATAATGCAATATCTTGATTTAAGATTTTGAAATGATTTAACTTTTATCTTCTCGTTTAGGTAGATCGTTCATGAATGTTTATTTAAATTATTGCTGATGTCAAATTGTTTCAGTGAAACATGAGGGTAAAAGTCGGTGCTAAATAATTTATATGATAAATGTCCAATTTAGTACCGAAACAACCATCCTGGTCAACCTTATCTTTTTCTTTCCTCCATGTTATTTTCATTGTAATGTCAAACATCGATTTCTCAAGTAATTATTCTATTGATCGTTTATATTATTATTTTCATTCTAAAACCAATGCAAATACATTCAAACATATTTTTTTCATTGCTATATTTTGCAAGATGTGATTATTTGTTAATAACACATTGAAACCAAATTGACAAATATAGATATGAAACGATGTGTTATGATTGCAAATGAGACAACTACCTACCAGAGGTAGAACGGAGTATTATAAAGCAATTATATGCAACCGTACGGCCTTCAACAATGAAAAAATCCAAACCGTATAGTGTGACGGGTTAAACATGTTTGTTAGCACTCAACCCTCCCTCCTAACCAGAGACAGTTCAACATAATATGAGAACAAACTGTAAAAACCAGTTGCAATTGGATTAACTTAAAAGATTAAATGCATGCCAATTTGATAGAAATCATTTTACTGCAGTAGTCTACGCATGTGCAAACAAAATTTATTGGATTTCGAGCATGGGTTTGTTTACAAAGCGAAAGAAGCACGTCATATTAGAATTAAGAAACTATCAATTGTTATATTTTCATACTAAGAAATTAAACAGTAGGTTTTTTTTATTGTTTCCGTATTATATTTTTCACAAATCACAAATTAAACTTGTCTTGAGTTAATAGTAACAGCATTTAGTTTTTTTTTAACTCAAACTTCATTTTTTAAATTCTTTGTCAATTAATATGAGTTACATTCGAAACACCTATTCAAAATTTCAAATATAAGTTTCTCTGATTTTTATAAACCCGATATGATATGAGTAGATTCCGGCAAACACTATGCAAACTTATCTCTTTTCATTTTTTGATTTGGTTTGGTCATTTAATATCTCATAAATTTCAATAGCAGTTCTTTGTCATGTCTCGTCAGGCCTATTATAGTTGACTATACAGTCTGGATTTTAGAAATTGTTAAAAGCTGTACAGTTATCTAATGGTGCTAAATCCACGAGATTTGCACTGTGTTTGATATTTGTCTGATTGACAATCATGTTTCAACATCCAGGATCAACATTACAATTCAGTTTAAAGTTCTTGAATAAATTAAAAAAAAAGAATTTACATTGTTAAAACCGTTTTTAAGTATATTGAATCCGTCGAAAGTAACAATGCTCATTTATCTGATTCATTTATAAATTCAAAATACCAGTTTATTCATACATATAAATATATATCCGCAAGTTTATTGTTTTCGGTTTGTTAATAAACAGGATCCATTTTGTTACATCTGGTGATCCGTTTATTTGGCAATCGCCAATGGCAGTCAGCAAGGTTTAAGAACATCTGTTGTTCGACCTGCTAGTCAAATGCGTTTTGTTAAAATATACTTTTTTACTTTTTTGGTCTTTTTGAAAATGTTGTTTGTGCTGTATTTATGATGTTCCTAAACCCTGCTGACATTAAGGCGGCAAATACCAAAAAAGAGAATAAAAACTCATAGGTAGAAGAGAAATCGACAAAATTATCGCATCGACGAAAAGTCAAATACTACTATACTTAACACTACAAAACTAAAGACTGGGAAAGACTGAAAAATGTTGGAACGACTGAGAAAGTCTAAAAAACTCCGATTTGAAGATATGACCTGAATGTTAGATATAATAAAGGTTAGAACGTACCTACTATCTTTTCCGTAGATCTAGCTTCAGGTTGAAGAGCGACAAGCGCTGCTATGCAATACCATTGACACGTATATATTGACATATTTGAGAATGGTTGAACCTAATATAGAATACTTTTTATTGTTTAACTACTTATTCTTCTCAAAAAGATTCTTTTGTTAACATTTTTCGTTTGAAATATTATAAATGTTAAGTTTAAAGCAACATGTTTCTCTTTGTTTATTCGTTAAACACAAATTTTCTTAATTTAATTTAAATCATTAAAACGTATATTCTGTATAGCCTTTTGAAATACATCCATGTCAAGAAAAATTTAAAACGTGTAACATTGCAAAATCATTCATCAAAAGGAAAACTAGGCAGTCTGTTTAATGAAGTTGATAAATAAAAACGTTGATACTGTTATAAATGTCGATTATATCTTTGGTGCAGAATGATTTTATTCGTTGGAATATAACCTTTAGATGTGAATATAGAGTCTTATCTTAAATGTACGGCTGTACCTATATTAACCATATGTTGATACTGTAAGATATATTTGTCTATTCATTTTTCATTGAATAGAAATCATTTACTAAGAGAGTCTATATCATTCACTTTTCTTCACTATCATGGTTTACAATATTGTCGCTGGTGACTGGAATTTTTACCCAATACTATAGGAACGGAATGAAGAGCGACCTTTAAAATGGTACGCCATTTACCGTCAGCAGTTATTCCCGCTAAAAATTAAAAAAACATCAAGTCTGAGGGTACCCAAGTTGACAGTTTTTTTTCACCTATTTTTATTTATGCTCCAAACAAAAGTTTCCATTCTGTGTTTATGTTGTAGATGTATCATTATTTACTATATAGTTCCACCAAATATCATTTTGAATCCATACTGAATCATAAAAAAATGGATTTGAACTGACATTCAAGATGACCCATGATTCTGTAATGAGAAGTAGCCAAATGAGCCTCCTCACAGGGTTTTTGATTATATGATTACTTGGCATTTTTTATAGTGATTATTTGATTACCAGACCAAATTTGTCATGATTATTTGATATTTGATAGTCAATTACTTTTTTTTTTTATTATTTGATTATCTTGTTTTACAAAATAATTAATAATTATGTGATCATATTGACAAAACATATGTGATTAATTTGTGATTACTTGGACACACCCATGAGGGGCCTCCAAAATTGCTTTCGTTCTTAAATTCACATCCGTAAGCATATACAAATTAATTGTTTGTTTTAATTAATTCTTCAAACAATTTGAACAATTTGACAATAGTCCATGCTTACTCTATATTTGTTCATGAAATTGATACCTGTGACATATTTTAATTGCTCATTTTGAAAAGTTGACGTTTTGTGGACGTTTCCGTGAATTTTACCTTTTCACTGAATACTTCATCTATTGATACTTACTGTGAACGTTTTGTGTATATTTGAATATATTTATCCATGTTGAAAGAATGTCATTTTAATGATTGGTGTTCATCTGTGTATATGTCATCAAACTATTATGAATTCCATATCTGGTTTTGAATTGCGTCATTTCTAAAAGGAAGGTTTAACTTTTTTATTGTGCACTTTGAGTTGTGATGAAAACATTGTATACATTTAAATCTCCTATCAAATTGCTAGAAAAATTCACATAAAAATGGCTTCATAATTATAAAAATTATTTTCAGAAAAAATTACGTTGCAAAATTAAGGTGGATTTTTGGATTTTATAATTAGAGTTCCGTTGTTTTTTATTTTGTTTTTTTTTGTAAACGTAGGTTTATATATAGCATATGTGGTAATCCTAACCCAAATTGCACCAAAGGCTTCGCTAATCCTAAATCGCTCACTGTTCTTGATTGCATATGATATGTTCGCGCTACCGCTTGATATGTTTACGACGTCACTGGTGTTGTGACTTTACCCCCTTCAAAGTTTCAGTACCGTTGTCATTGCAAGCAAACGTTCTTTTTATCATTAAGTTCAAAATATGTAAAAAAAAAGAGGTTATTTTATGTCATTAGCTTCCATAGAGTCAATAAATATTTCTGTCATGCCAATCAATTCTTGTAAATCACAACTACTCGCCTATATCGAATAAATTGTCAAAAGAACATAAACGAAAAAACAGTCATAATTGCTAATGAATTGATGATCATTATTTTATTAATTTTAAAGTATTGTTGGTGCGGAAAGAACTAAATATTCTACTCGAGGAGAGGAGAATATTTCCTTTGCTATATTAGGCCCAATCTATGGGATTGTTGGTTATGTAATGTTCATCAACTTCGTACTTTATTGGGCTTTTTTAATTTGTTTTGAGCGTCACTATTGAGTCTTTTGTAGTCCGTCGTACAAAATTTGAATTCTGATATCTATGATGAGTTTATTTATATTCATTTAAAAATTAATAAATAATATATCTAATTTTGCGACATAATGATTTCACAAAGAAAACTTGGCCTTTCTCGAATATTACAGTTTTCATCTTGGAGTGGAACAGTTGACAATGGCGCTAGTATGCCGCATGAGTTTTTGTTAACTTGTAAAGGATAACCACTATCATAATTATTCAGTTGTATCGTCACCCCGTAAATGTTGCTGAAACTTTCGCCGGTCATCCATGTTTTATCTTTTAGCCCTATCCATACAGATCTAACGTCTGAATAAAGAAAAAAGAAAATGACAAATTAGTATGAAATATTGTCACTCTATTTTGATAAAAACATTCCGAGTCCGTCATAATCATAATTTTCAATTTGAAGGAAAACCTGTTCGATCAACATTATAGCCACGGTAACAGAGACTTTATAGGTTATTCATTTAAATTCAATTGGAAAGTTTTCCACTGCGAGATTCGCTGTTACAAAAACATTGTAGGTGTCGATTAAAACTAGGTTTCAGGGCATACGATACAGTTTTCATCCCGCGGTGATGTTTTACGAAAATGTAACAGGCTATTTAACACTTAATCAATTCAAATATGTAATAATAAATGTACCTGCATGTGCTACTTTAAGAGATAAATAGGGTCAACATTTTAGACATTTACTCAAAATGTCGTTGTTTCTTTTTTGCTTAACATTTCTATCCTTGCCACCTTAGTAGCAATATACCAACTTCACCTGCATATGGAGTATACACTTTCCAACTTATTCGGTATTCAAAAGCTTGCAGCTCCTACCCATACTTTGTAAAACGTCACCAGTGTCTGAGCAGAAAGTTGATGAACCAGGGGTATGTCAAATAACATCTCGTCATTTTTCTAAAAAATGTTCATCGGAAGGTACCAAGACCTAGTTGATAACACATAATACACGAAGTTCTTGAAGTATAGATTCTGGGTACGGTACTGATGTTGTTTATCATCTTAATAACGTGTTATACTATTCTTCATTTGTATTTATGAATATTACCTTTACTGTTTAGTCTGGTTTTTTTTATCGATATCCATTTGACGTGGCTCGGTACTTGTACATCTCGTCATTGTGTTATTGTTCTATGATAATTCTCCTATTCTTGTCTTTCAATTTTGCTAATGTGCTTTGTCTATATGCCATTTTGGTGTTTCTCTGATACATATGACGTAGCTCTGTATTTATACATCCCGTTATTGTGCTATTGTAATACATGTTTTGTATTTTTGTCTTTCATTTTTGCTAATGTGCTTTGTCTATATGCCTTTTTATGTTTCTTCAATACATATATGACGTGGCTCTCTCATTGTGCCATTGTACTATGGTAAATTTGTGTATTTGTGTCTTTAATTTTTGCTAATATATTAAGATTATAACAAAATGTAGACTGCTGTACCCCTATTTTTGACATTTTTACTTTTTATGACTGTTTATTTTGTTCACACATCGTTATCAATATAATGGAGTTTAATGCGACTGTCATATAGGTGAGAGGTTTAGCTAGCTTTAAACCCAGGTCTAATCCTCCATAAGACAATGCCTGTACCAAGTCAGTAATATGAGTTGTTATCCATTCGTTTGATGTGTTTGAGCTTTTGATTTTGCAATTTGACTAGGGACTTTCCTTTTTTAATTTTCCTCGGAGTTCTGATTTTACTTTTTTATATACATACATAGAAATACATTTGCATGTAACTTTTTTGTTTCAAAACATGAACATTTGTGTAAAGAAAGAGGGGTTCATGAACTCTTTTTCAAGTTGAATAAATCTTAATGATAAAAATCAGTCGAAAAATGCATCTTTACCCGACATGTCACAGTTTGATTTCGCGAAAATAACATTTTACGTTAGCAACACCATTGCTTCCCCGGTAACTGCATCCCATGCTCTTCTAATAATATTTATCTATAGGATATCATTCAACTGATATTTTAAATCTATAATCAGATAATCATCTTTGGTCATACATTTATCTTTTTTTTTGTCAAAAGCAGGAAAAAGACAACAGACCTTCCAAAATACCTAAACACAAAAAAAATCGCCATATACTGAAACTTTGTTTTGCTTAAGACTTGAAATACATTGATTGGAATAAACAAATTGAATGTAATTAACTTTGTATAACCCAGGAAATTATACACAATGGGCCATTTTAAAAAAAAAAACATTTGCCGGTAATGAACAATAAGAGAAATGGATCTTTAACAGCAAAGTGATTGAGATAATCTGTTGGTGTAGTTGAGTAACATGTTCTGCATTGTTTTCTTTTTCATCTAGTGTTATTTTGTTTGCATTTTGTCACTTCTTATGTAGTCCGTCCTTATTGAATTATCTTTTTATGACTGTTTTGAATGTCCTCATGCAAGTATTTTCTTATTCTCACTAAAACTTACTACTAAAGCTTTTTGTGATGAAATCCCATTTTGCCTTTGATATTATGCTTACTAAGTCACCACCTTCTTGTTCTTGACAATATTTTCTTGCGTTCTTCCATGTAGTTCCTCTTGTTGATACTAACTTTATACAAGTGGTCGTTTCTCCGTCAAACAGGATTTCATTTGAGGCACACTCTGTTAAAAGAACTGCACGTATCAAATACTCATACAATTTTTGGAATCCTGTAAATATCTAATGAGGCATTTAAAACCTAATTTTAGGTATATAAGTTGGAGGTTTAGCTAGCCCTAAAACCAAGTTTAACCCGCCGCAATATGTTATTTTACGAAAATGCCTGTTGATTTCCCATTTCTTTGTTGATTATTAGAGTTTGATTTTGGATGTAAGCATTTAAAGGCAACTCATACAGCAGTGTCGGCGTCGAAATGCAAAACATACAATATTTCAATTGAGAAAACTAACAGCATAATTTATAACAAAAAAAAAAAATATACGAAAAACTAAAATGAAAGACAACAACAAAGACAGCCACTAAACTGCGGGCTCCTGGCTTCAGACATGCACATATATAATATGGCGCGGTTAAACATACCTGGTATGCTGTATATCAAAATACAGTAACTTTTATTGCTTGTAAACATTTTCGTAATTCGCCGTTGTTTGTACTACAAAATGAAAACAACGTCACGTCACTGACTAAAATTCAATTGATTTGGACATTGTAAGCCAATCAAGCGTTTTGGTGAACGCTTTTGAAAATATTACCCAGAAAGCATTAGACTCTGATCGGCAAAAGTTGCTGCATATTACCTTTGGCTGATGTGCAGTTGAACAAAACTGTCCATTTTCCAGGACTTTTACAGACGGCAAACGGTTTTCCCGCCATCTTATAACCATAGCCACATTTAAATTTATTTCCAGTATCTAAATCTCGCCGCAGTCCGAACGGTTCTTGGAGTTCAGCATTTGGTGTATTCGGTAAACCTTTACAATCTGCATTATATAAATAAAAAATGGTTTAAGGGATACGTGGTCTAACAGGTAACATTTAGGCATCATAAATAACATGATGGGGATGGGATGACGTTAAACGTCTAGCGGCTAATTTAATGAATTTTCAGGATGATACCATGTTATTTGAGATATTTATATAAGACATGTCTATACAAGACCGACAGGTTGAGTAGTATTTTAACATGCTAGCTAATGAGGTTACAGCTGGCAGAAAAGAGTCAAACTACCCGGAAACAAATTTCGGTCTCCGTGCCGATTTTTTTTTAATTTCTACTCAATGCTGCTTGCCAGGCAAAGAAAAGCAAATAACAATTTTTATGTCCTTGGTTTGATTCAGTCGAAATCGAAATCACGACCTCCCACATTCGAGTCAATGGACCACAACGATTCCACAGAAGAGGTTGAGAAAGGACTTTAAGATATGTAGAAATGGCTTTCCGGCGATTTGTTCCTTATTCGAAAAAGGAAAGCCTTTTCTTTTCTTTCATTTTTTCTAAATGAAGACACTCCAATTAATTGACTAGGATTGTTAGTCTTCCTACCGAAGGTCGGTAGATCTCTCCGGGCACTCCGGCTTCCTCAACTAATAAAAACTGACCGTCAGGAAATAGCAAAATAGTTTTGAAAGTGGCGTTCAACACCAATCAATCAGTCAGCATTTTGTTTATGTTCTATGTCTATATGTTTTTTGATTTTCTGTGGTGACAATTTTTTATAGTGATCAAGATAATAACACACTGTTGACTTGCTCTATCCCTATTTTGACATTTTTTTCTAATGTTGTTTTTTTTATCACACATGTTGTCAATATAACGAAATTATTTGCGACTGTCATACCACTCAGAGGTTTTATCTAGCTATAAAACCATATGTAATGCACCATTTTCTACATAAGAAATGCCCTGTTCCAAGTCAGGAATATGATAGATATTTTCCAATCGTTTGATGTGTTTAAGCCTTTGATTTTGCAATTTGAGAACTTTCCAGTTTAAATTTTCCTTGGAGGTGAGTTTTTTTCTGTTTATGCAGTTCCCACTTTACTTTTACCTGTGTTATAGAAAAAAGTAGCGATGTCACAAAGATACTGAGAATAAAACTTACATGCTTTTACGCATTTATATTTGGTGTCATCGGCATTTAATTCACACTTTTGCCCTTCTTCACAGTTGTGGCCGGCACATTTTCCTGCCAATGACTGAAACAGATTACAAAGATATCATCATATTAATGCAACATTGAATTCATACATTTTTGCATTATTGGAATAGAAAAAATAAATAGCCATAAAAAGTTAGAATTTGTAAAGGCACAAACAACGTGAACGAAAAAATCACAGCAGTATAAAGTTGTCCAACATAAACATCAACTCGGTCATACTTGCAATTCACAAACTTAAGTGTTCCCGGTCAATGCTAAATTTGAGTTAAATAATAATTTTATAATCATAAAGTTGTATTTACATCTGATAAAAAGAAACTGAAAGTTTTAAAAAGAAAAAGGATATTTATATAAAATAATATAAAGTTATATAAAACATAATTGCTTGAAAAAATACATTGTGTATTATCATTAAGCAAGACTTGCATGTAATCTTAAATCTCAAATTTGTTGTACTCTATCATCACTGAAGATACCAACATTGTCGAAAATAAAAATAACCGAAGCAAATACATGTCAGACTCGCGTATCGCCTACATACGACTCGTCAGTGAACCGCGAAACAAAAAAGCTAAAAAGTTTAAATAAAAAAAAAGTTGAAGAGAATTAAGGACCGAGAATTCCAAACGATTTTTCCTAATACAGCTACGATAATATTTCACTAGGATAGAAAATCCTTAGTTGTTTTTGAAAACAAAATCTCTGTTTTATTTACAGTTAATATATAATTCTTATCATATCAATGATAGTTCTTATAAACGACTTATTCGCCTAGGATGTATTAAAGTTGAAATCGTTTATGTTGGTTTCAATTGCAGAAGAAAAGAGGCAATTACTTTAATTATCTGATACAACTAGGAATTTCTCTAAGATATGCTTACCCTACCGGAGCACCTGCGAACACCCCAAATTTTTGGTGGGGATCATGTTGCTTAGTCTTTATTTTTCTATGTTGTGTTTTGTACAATTTTGTAAGTCTTTTTGTATTTTTCTTTTTTAGCCAAGGCGCTGTCATTTTATATTCGATTTATGAATTTAAATGTCCTTCTGGTATCTAGCGCCCTCTCTTATATGATAAAGTTAAAAAGTAAAATACCTTTTCCCATGTTGTTATGTTACTTTTGATGCAGGTCGAGTCGTCGGCAATTTCGTTTCTAATGGCATTAGACATCACAAGATCACATAGTTTCCAATTTTGTCTGTAATTAATAGACGTGCAGTTTGACGTAATGAAACATTCCTTAGCACATTCAAGCAGTGACAGTTGGCGAAATCTAAGAAGTACTCCTGCCAAGGAGCATTTACCCTTTTCGATCTCACCGACTCCAGACAGATTTGGTTTCTTACACGTGTCATCCTCAGCCGAACAAACGTCTTCCATATTCAAAGAGTAAATTATTTCTGTGAATTGGATGACAACAAATAATACTGAATGTTTTGAATGCATCCTTTCTTATCAACACTACTTAACTTTTCTGTCAAACGAAAGAAATGATTTGTGTATGCATTACTGTTTAATAACAGAAAATATATAAGTTCGTATTAACTTTTTCCAGACAACTGATGAACTGACTTTCGTTTCAACTCTTAAAATCAATTATTGGTAAAAGCATTAATGTTAATTATTTATCATGTTTAAAGTTTTCAATGGTTTCAATCAGGCCAACCATGACACTGAAAACGTTTCATTATGTTCCAGGTAATATTTCAATGCCAATGGCAATAACCTGTTATATCTTATTCATAATTTCGACGATTATTTGCTGAAGGATGATGGAATCAGCAATATTAGATAATATCAATGCTAAATACATTTACTTTGAAGTCAATATCAATTCATTATCAAAAAGGTTTAAACAAAATACTGATCTCCACGGTAAACTCAAAATGGTCCATAAAACTGATTAAATCGAACGTTCTCAATCGGAACAAGCGAAAAACAACTTTTATATTCCTGCCTTTGGACAGGCATCTTCCAAATAAGATAGTGGTTCAAAATAAGTGTTATAAACCGCCAACATGATTATTGATGTATAAGTGTATACAATTGAAGGTTTGCACAATAATAACCTAGATAAACAAAATGTCTCAAAATATAAAATTCATTTGTCATTTTGTCTTTGTTTAGATTGAAACGTTCAAATCATATGGGAAATAAGATTGAGAATGGAAATGGGGAATATGACAACAAGACAACAACCCGACCAAAGATTAGACAACAGACGATGGCCACCAATGGGTCTTCAACACAGCGAGAAAAACCCGCACCCGGAGGTAGTCCTCAGCTGGCCCCTAAATAAAATTGTGTACTAGTTCAGTGAAAATTGACGTCACATTAAACTCCAAAACATATAAATGAACTAAAATTAAAAACATTTTTAAAAAACATAAAAACTATCGCTATGATATATCATCCATATCAGTAGGAATATCTCATTGTGCATGTTTTTTCATCAGAACGAAAAGTCGCTATCTAGGTATTGAAAGTGACAAAACTCAATCCAAATCAGGTGCTTAAAAAATGTTGTGCAAATTATGGTAAAAAATAGTAGCTTTCTTAAATTAAAAAAAAAATGCAATTATTAGATATGACAGATGAATTAATTAATATATTAAGATGCATGATTTCAACTCAATTTTTATATAAGATGGAGCAAACTGGCATGGATTATTAATGTAGCTGCTGTTAAATGCGGGCCACAATTCTTGTTATAATCAAATCATGTCAGAAATATATCATTACATCATGCAAAATTGTTACTACCATTAGATGTTTATATCTGGGGTGTTGTTTTAGTAATTAGAAGTTCTTTCCTGGCTAAAGTCGAACTGTTTATAATGAAATAAAATTGAGAATGGAAATGGGGAATGTGTCAAAAAGACAACAACCCGACCATAGAGCAGACAACAGCCGAAGGCAACCAATGGGTCTTCAATGCAGCGAGAAACTCCCGCAACATTTTTGATACCAGTTTAAACCCAGTTTATAACCCTTAAATGTATGTGTAGTTAATTGTATATTTGTGTTGTGAATCAACCAAAGGATAACGAAGATGTTTGGTTTTATAGGACTATATAACTAACAGCATAAATACGGAATAGCAGGGCAAATACAATAAAGTTCATGTCCTGTACGTTAATTTAAAGATTGTGTTGTCTTCTATCTGCTGAATCAGAAAACAATATTTAAGGATTATTATATAATTATTGTATAAATGATTAAGTACTTTTCAGACAGTTGTTTCAAAAGTACGTTTGAAGTTTGAAGATTGACGAAATAAATCATTAACAGTCCAAGGGAGCAACAAACTATTGGTATATATGTCTCTTACTATTACTACGTACACACATCAGAAAACAGAAAGTAAAGTTCTTCTTGATTGACGTTCCCTTCAAGGATGACAATCAAAATAATTTAACACAAGTATGAAGTTGTTATCAAATAGCTGTTACAAAAGAGTGGGATGTTTGAAGATTCTATAATTAAATCATTAAAAGTACAATGAAGCTACCACCTATAGGTAAGTTATTTAAATTATATGTATGCATCAGTTACTACGTATATACATCATTATCTCCATATGCATAAAATCTATATTTATACTTTTATACTTGTCTTGTTCTCTCATTTGACACAACGGAAGTAATGCTTCTTCGAATCGACCAACATATTACAAAATGGCATAGGTTCTCGTCAATTTATTTGGCTCTGTGAACAGGCTTTCATTTAAAATCAACGCAAATGAAGACTTAAAAATATCCTCTTCTCTCTCAAAAAAGAAAACTCGAATAATATGAAATTACTGCGAAAAGTAGCGGGACTAGGACATATAACACAAGACAGCGAGCATACAAAAAATGTTTATCTTATGCCTTCAAAAACATTGGTGATTTGATTCTGTTTAATTTTTAAACCGACGGGGAAGTTAGAATAAGGCCATTTTTTATATCCCTTGAGACGAAAATCAAAATGCAGTATTAATCTAGCTAATACATTGCAATGGCATCCTTCATATTTTCATTCTGTCAAATATCAGTATCTATATTTTTGTATTTTGTCTTAACAAATAGTCATTAAGGTTTTCAACTTCTTACATTTTATGCTAGCAGTAAAACCTGCTAAAATCATCTTATATTTATTTCTTGTCATAAATGTTAAAATGGAAGTAAATTAATTTTAACATAAGGATAAATGTGTGTAAACAGTTTTACAAACATGTATAGGAAGTGTGAAAATGAAAATCAAAACCTCTACTGGGGTGCCTGTGTATCTTTGTTTAATATTATTCAATATTTCTATTTATTTCATATCGGTTAAAATTAGCTTCTCTTATTGGATAGTAAGTTGCTACATGACATTTTTTATTCTTCAGTAATAATTTTCATCGGTCATTAACCAGACCAGGGGTCAATTACATGCCAAAGTATTTAATTACATTTCAATAACATTGATTTTTAAATGTAATTAATTACATCACAATTACATTGATTTTCAAATGTAATTAATTACATCACAGTTACATTGATTTTCAAATGTAATTAATTACATTACATTGCCAATGTAATTAATTACATTTCAATTACTTTTGTTCAAAGACATGTAAGAGCAATATGATTTAAAATAAAATCATAAAAATGACAACAGGCTGGAATAGCATGAAACTTTTATATGCACATGCACTTTTCAACAGTGAAAACATTTGTACAAGATATGTTAAAAAAAGTTTTCAAATTTCGAACGTCATTGTTACATTTAATCACTATTTGATTTTCTATGGTGATAATTTGATTGCATTCCTTATTTTATTGGGGGGGAAAATATAACGAGAGAGATATATATACTTAAAATAACAACTTTCTACTAAAAGTGTTAATAAAATTTTTTAAAGGTTTTCCTATGTACCCGAATGTGAAATTTGAAGTAACTTTGAAGCTTTTATTTATTACAGAAAAGTAGCACTTTCCAGACTTGTCTTTTGACAAGTCAAAACTGTCCATAATATTGGACTCCATTCTTGTATGTTTTGACTACTGTAATTATTTTTAGAAAGTGTTTAAATAATATCCATCTAATAAGATACACATTTTAACAGATAAATTTGCCTTAATCAAGGGACAAACTTGTACTTCATAATTAGTGAAGTAAAAGGAAATACCTGAGGCTAAGATTATTTTTAATTTTTAAAACAACATATTTACAAATTATATGCACATAAATTGATTTTGTTTTTAATTTTATACTTTTTATGTAAACATGTGAAAAAATTAATGAATTTAATCCAAAATAATATGATACATGCTATAATGATTTGTGAAATATCAAATATAGATATATTTGTTTCATCATGATTAATGTTTAAAAAGTATTAAGAAAAATAAAAGTATCAAGTATATTTTAAATGTAGGAAAAAATAAGATTTTTAGGTTGCATCAGAAAGGCACAAAATGTTTAAAGTTTCTAAGCAATTATTTCAATGTAATTGAAAGTAATTGAAAAGTAATTCATAATTACATGGCAAAAAGGCAATGTAATTCATTACTTTCAATGGCATTGAATTGAAAATATGCTAAATTACACAAATTACTTTCAAAAATGTAATTAATTACAGCTAACTACAATTACATTTTTAATAACCTAAGTTCTGTCATTAACAGAAAAAAAAACGGACCAGAAAACCAATCGTTAACGGACATTCACATGTTAATGACCGGTCGGGCGTGGTTTTTCTGTTTTTACATGTTAATGACCGGTGGGGCGTTGTTTCTCTGTTAAGAGAAATGTTTCTTTGATAAAACATTTTCCTGTTTTCAATTTTATATTGAAGTTGTTGAATTGTTAACCATATGTTTTCGTTAATTATAAAATTATAGAAAACTTTATTTTGTATTAAAAAGCTGAAAAAATTGCGTTTAAATGAATGGCAGTGACTCAAAGTCATCACTATGACTGGTATTCATTTTTTCCTTTAGAACTCGTACAATAACTATTATGTATATACACCTTCTTTCTATCACTTATAACAAACATATGGATAAACTTTTCTCCAATGTATGAATTTCTACAATTTCAAGCATTTATAGTACATGTAGTAAGATGTTTTTAAGTTAAGATGGATGACAATCACTTCCATTTCAAATCTTTACATTTTCCGAGCATGTGATAAAATATTGATCAACCCTTTGTATATTAGAGAATACTGGTTCCCTGGACGTTTAATTTACAAAACAGGCATTAGCAAGAGTTTAGATATGTACTCAACTCTCAATGTCAATATTTTTGAGAATTTTGTGCTCCCTTTTTTTTTTTTTTTTTAAACATACGCTTGTGTTATACTATGGATACACAATAGAAATATTTATATCTACCAGCTAGACAACTTGCTAAACTGGTTGAAATTGCATTACACATACGTTTTTGGAAACCTGATAAAAGTATATACCAGTATTATACATTATAAAATGATAAACCTAATAACACTCGAAAACTGACAAGAGTATTTGATCAAAAGCTATATTTCACTGCAAATCAGTCATACTAATGTTTGTC